CCTGCTCAGTGAGTTTACATGTTAGAGGGAGTGGGCAGTGGACACAGTAACAGAGGGACTGAGGCCCCTGCTCAGTGAGCTTACATGTGAGCTAGGAGGAGTGGGTATAGCCAGCCACACAGTAACAGAGTGATTGAGGCCCTGCTCAGTGAGTTTACATGTTAGAGGGAGTGGGGTATAGTGACACAGTAACAGAGGGATTGAGGGCCTGCTCAGTGAGTTTACATGTTAGAGGGTGTGGGGTACAGTGACACAGTAACAGAGGGATTGAGGGCCTGCTTAGTGAGTTTACATGTTAGGGATTGAGGGTCCTCCTCAGTGAGTTTACATGTTAGAGGGAGTGGGGTATAGTGACACAGTAACAGAGGGATTGAGGGCCCTGCTCAGTGAGTTTACATGTTAGAGGGAGTGGGGCATAGTGACACAGTAACAGAGGGATTGAGGGCCTGCTCAGTGAGTTTACATGTTAGAGGGAGTGGGGCATAGTGACACAGTAACAGAGGGATTGAGGGCCCTGCTCAGTGAGTTTACATGTTAGAGGGAGTGGGGTATAGTGACACAGTAACAGAGGGATTGAGGGCCTGCTCAGTGAGTTTACATGTTAGAGGGAGGGGGGCATAGTGACACAGTAACAGAGGGATTGAGGGCCCTGCTCAGTGAGCTTACATGCTAGGAGGGGAGGGGTATAGTGACACAGTAACAGGTGATTGAGGCCTGCCTGTAGTGAGTTTACATGTTAGGAGGGAGTGGGGTATAGTGACACAGTAACAGAGGGATTGAGGGCCCTGTTCAGTGAGTTTACATGTTAGAGGGTGTGGGGTAGAGTGAGCTTACATGTTAGAGGGAGTGGGGTATAGTGACACAGTAACAGAGGGATTGAGAGCCTGCTCAGTGAGTTTACATGTTAGAGGGAGTGGGGTACAGTGACACAGTAACAGAGGGATTGAGGGCCTGCTCAGTGAGTTTACATGTTAGAGGGAGTGGGGTATAGTGACACAGTAACAGAGGGATTGAGGGCCCTGCTCAGTGAGTTTACATGTTAGAGGGAGTGGGGTATAGTGACACAGTAACAGAGGGATTGAGGGCCTGCTCAGTGAGTTTACATGTTAGAGGGAGGGGGGTATAGTGACACAGTAACAGAGGGATTGAGGGGCCTGCTCAGTGAGTTTACATGTTAGAGGGAGTGGGGTATAGTGACACAGTAACAGAGGGATTGAGGGCCCTGCTCAGTGAGTTTACATGTTAGAGGGAGTGGGGTATAGTGACACAGTAACAGAGGGATTGAGGGCCTGCTCAGTGAGTTGACATGTTAGAGGGAGTGGGGTATAGTGAGACAGTAACAGAGGGATTGAGGGCCTGCTCAGTGAGTTTACATGTTAGAGGGAGTGGGGTATAGTGACACAGCAACAGAGGGATTGAGGGTCCTGCTCAGTGAGTTTACATGTTAGAGGGAGTGGGGTATAGTGACACAGTAACAGAGGGATTGAGGGCCCTGCTCAGTGAGCTTACATGCTAGAGGGAGTGGGGTATAGTGACACAGTAACAGAGGGATTGAGGGCCTGCTCAGTGAGCTTACATGTTAGAGGGAGTGGGGTATAGTGACACAGTAACAGAGGGATTGAGGGCCTACTCAGTGAGTTTACATGTTAGAGGGAGTGGGGTATAGTGACACAGTAACAGAGGGATTGAGGGTCCTGCTCAGTGAGTTTACATGTTAGAGGGAGTGGGGTATAGTGACAGTAACAGAGGGCTTGAGGCCCTGCTCAGTTACATGCTAGAGGGAGTGGGGTATAGTGACACAGTAACAGAGGGATTGAGGGCCTGCTCAGTGAGTTTACATGCTAGAGGGAGTGGGGTATAGTGACACAGTAACAGAGGGATTGAGGGCCCTGCACAATAAACTTACATGCTAGAGGGAGTGGGGTATGATATGTGCCAATGCTGCTAACTATTATATTCAACAAAATCTATTGGAGAGAACAAGACCCACAATATATCCCAAGAGAAAGAATAGTAATAATATAGCTTGGTATACCTGGGTAACAGGGTAGGTATAGCTTGGTCACAGGGTAGGTATAGCTTGGTCACAGGGTAGGTATAATTGGGTCACACGGTAGGTATATCACATGTTCTTGGAGGGGCCTGCTGGCCAGCCTATTACCAAAAGAGTATGGGCCCTTTAAAAACTATGTGAACAGACTTGGTTTGTGGGATTTTATATTTGGTCCGGGAACCAAACAGCCTCACGAACCGGAGACCACCCTGAAGCTTGTAAAGCCTAATTGCTACTTTACCACGGTCCACGCCGCCCGGCCACGCTACACTGAGTGACTGGCAGGAGGGAGCGCTGTGCGCTTTCCTCCTGTCTGGTCACCCAAATCTGGCGCCCCGGTCCGCCCTAGGCATTTGCCTGTCGCCTATAGGATGCGCCGGCCCTGAGGGCATGATTAGATGAGCTTGTGCTGTGCATTGGGCACTAGGACCATTTCAGCAATGCTCCCTGCATGGTCCTTGTAACGGCACCCCAGGCATAAAAGGGTTAAACCGCTGTTTAGTAGATCTTCCCTTCCAGAGACACAGGCACAGCTACTGTAGACACTAATCCACCGAACCGGAGAAGCATATGAATGCTGTAAACGGCTGAACCGGAACCATATGAATGCCGTAAACAGCCGAATAGGAAAAACCATAAGAATAGGTTTACACTCCTAGCAGTCGAACTGGAACAGCATACAATAAATCCCCCCAAGAACGAGACAAAGCTCCGTGTTGATGGTCAAGCAGGAACAGACAGAGCTGTGGGTTTATTGTTCTTATATACACATTAGTACCACCCACAGGGTTTTGGAAAACAACCAATAAACACATACAATACACTCAGACACTCCCACACAAAATCCTCCACTCTGCCTGAGATACAATTACCTTACACAATGGGTAATGTAATTATCACCGGCAGAGAAATACAGTTTTTCCACATGATTCATAACTTGAAAAGTATGCATCACATTCACATAAAACGTACATTTTCAGAATCAGCATACTCCAAATACAAACATATGTCAAAATCCAAATTGGTCCATTGGTTCAAAAGATAGATCGAAGTCCTTTGTGACCAAATGAAGCATGGCTTTTCTGCCCAAAACCAGTTCCACAGAGTCTTCTATCCTGGAGATAATTGGGAAGGACAGAGGCAAAACTCCATTGAACACATGGCAGCAAAAGAAAATAAAACACATAAAAATATATAACTGTACAGCCATTGCACAAAACAGGTACATTCAACATATCCCCAGATAGCTCAGATCCGAGCGCACATTATTACTGAATGCCGCTCAGAGCACACACATACAGTTCAATTGCCAAGGAGCCAAAGTCTTTCCCATAGTCTTTCATTATACGAATGGGCTCCATGGCATAGCTATCTGGGGTATCACTGTTCAAATAGGGCAAGTACCGAATGACCCGGCTTTCGTGTCTTCGCAGGGGAAAATCAAGCGTTTCAACATGGGGCCATAGTCTAAAGGCAACAGGCGGGCAACCAGGCTCCTCCAATGCACTGTGGCGAGATTGGTCTCGTCACAGTCCTCAGGGCAGGGGGACTGTCCAGGTAGCCAGTCAGTGTGCCCACTTCTTTTCCTTTCAAGCCTGCTCATTGTGGGCATCACTAATGACCCTGGTGACACTGGCAAGCCCCAATTGTTGGGAGATATACAGACAGGCATTATGGTTCAGATTTCCTCCTGCACCTCGACACTGTGAGTCTGTGACAAAGTGTTTGGAGACATTAGGATTAAGCAGTAATCTTTTATTAGTGGAACACATCATTCTGAGTCTGAGAGACAAGGCTTAGTAAAGGGTATTGATTGAAAGGGTTAATGCTGTTCTGGACTCAACTCCCCTAGATTCTCGATCCCCCGTCACTACATCAATTGATGGGAGTTCTTGTTTAGCAAATAAGACACACAGACACGAAAGAGTGCTCAACAAGTTCTCAATGAGTATATTTTCAGGGCTAGCATTATACACAGTTTGTCATGCAAGCAGTGAGATCTATAGTGTCCTTGTAGTTAATAGTACATACTTGTCGGACATGAAAAAGATAAGCATTTGGATGAAGACGAGACAGGAATATCCTAAGGTCAAGGAAGGTCATACATCCTGTAGACGAAAGACCTTGGTACAAAATACATTTGCCAAAGTCAGCATAATTATTTCAAACATTATTTTAAAGCAAGAAAGAGTTTAACTATTTCATATCCTTACAGTCAGAACTAATGATTATAAACCTTATCTAAGCATAAAATACATATGAACAAGGAAAGTTAACTATTTCAGCTTTCATCCCCCCTCTTTGAGCAATACACTTGCTCATATCATTGATAAGATCTTCCCAGGACAGAGACACTTCCACATTATGGCATTCCCAAGCAATCATGTGGTCTACAAGAAAGAGAAACTAAGCAGGAAAAAAGACACAATACTTTTACAGACAGATATATAGAAAATTTATGTTTAAGACAAAATGGAACTTGGGCTTATAGCAAATATATTATTGCAAATAGCTGACATGTTAACCAATTTTAAACAGACTAACCAGCCTGTCATCTGTATCGTAAGCCCTGGGTAAATATGGGCAAAGTGTATTATTCCCAACAGTTATTTTCCTCTTTTGTCCACGGAAGTGGGCGCATATAGTCAAAGTGGGAATAATACCTATACCCCGTCCAAGGACCGGGGTCTAGGATTACCAGTCCACCCGATGATCTGGGGCCAGGCAAAAAACCCCAGTGGCAAAAACTCATATTTGAGGAAAAAGCACATCTGGGGAAAACCTGAGTGGGGGCCGTGATCGTGTTAGACATGTCATCCCCCTCACAGTTGACACCACTTGTGACTTATAATACCCGCACCTGTGAGTGCATAGCTCGGGTATCGGGAGGAATTGGGAAACACTTCTTACATATTAATTAATGAGATAAATTATAATCTAGCTTGAAATTCTGACAATAATAACCAGGACCTTGCGTCCTATATCTTTTAACCATTTCCCTATTCCAAAGGTCCAGTCAAAACCAGTCATATCCTCACGCAGTTTCACAAAACATGGGAATCCATCCTTGGCACACTCAACATATATCAAAAACACACATAGTACAGCTAACTCTGGGTCAGCTAACACTTCCTCTCTCTCTCCGGCTAACTCTACAAAAGTAAAAAATTAAAATAAAAAATAGTTCAATAGTTCAGCATAGTTCAGAAAAATAGAATAAGTCTTTCACAGAGTATAAAGAAATCAGTTTAGACACCAGACATTTTGTTCCATAAAATGGCTAGGGTAGCAATATGGCTGACAACAAGACAATGTCAGCTTCCACATCGTTCTTCTTTTGTTTGCTGGATTTTCACCACAATACTCTGTGCAACACCCCAATGGTTGAAAGGGTTATTACAGAACCAGCAGTATTAGACAGCACTGCACCTTCAGGACTTTCCAGGTTCTTGCGTGCAAAGTTTATGTCCTCATAAGTATCTCAGTTTCTTTGGCCTGCATGGTCAGACCAAACAGATGTAATTGCAAAATACTTATTGCATGGTCAGCCAGAGAGATTGGTGTGTAGTCCCAGAAATCAGGTGGCACAAATACTCCAGGACGGTCTCTACAATCATACAAACACAAGGATCAATACAACATCAATTAATTAACTACCTAGGCTAAAACTTAAATAAGAGACTAAAGTTAAACTCTTAACTAGTGTAACATGTACTTCTCTCAGTTTTGCTTATAATTCATTGATTTTGTCCTTTATAAAATTTGAATACATAATTTCCCTTTAGAATGCCTTGTACGGATGAGAGAAGCACTCACTCTATAGAAATGCTTGTTAGGATGAATATTAAAACACTAACATTTGCATTTACATTCCCAATAAAATTTTGTTCCTAAACTTGAACCTTGATTTGATCATCTCAATTAATTACTTAAATAAAATTGGAATGCTGAAGTCTGTCAGTTTTGTGGACCCTGATAACCTCTTTGGAAACCAGCGGCCTCTGACAAGGAAGGGACAGTAAACTGTAGACATATGTTATATTAAGTTGCCCTCACTTGTCAGGTCTTGGAAACACACTTATTTTATTGCAGATGCCTCTAGGATACCACGTTACAAATTGATTAAGCATACTTATTATCCTATTTTATTTTAGTTATTTCACATTGCGCAGCCTATGCAAACAATGTCTAGGTCCCAACTTCAGCTTGTACATCCTCTAAGAGCCAGCATTAATATTGTTTAATAGTTTTGATAGATAAAAGTATTAAAAACATGAACCATCTTTGTATTAGGCTGAGGTTGTTGGGTGTGGGTATAACTTGAAAGTTGTGGTTGGTATTGAGGAACCTGCCAGGGTGGGAGTCCTTGAATGCACTGGGTTCTCCTTTGTCTCCTTGAGCACCAGGTTCACCATTGTTACCCTTAGGTCCAGGGGAACCTTTGGGGCCCTGAGGTCCAGGAGCACCATCAATACCAGTGGGGTTAGCTTGACCAGGAGAACCGGGTTCACCACAAGCACCTTGGGGTGAATCCCTGCTATCCACAATTAAAACAGTGCTGAAGTTACCACCTCTACAAAAGTTAGAAACTTTGACCAAATCCTCTACCTTTGCCTTTAAAACTTTTCTGATTCAATCTCCTATCACCTCCCAAATTTCTTTGTCTCGCCTGCTTAGGATCACAGTCCTTGTGACTGCTACAACATACCTTTTCCTTCTTTCTTTCTATCAAAACAACCTGCTGTATCTTTCTCATGAATCTTCCCAAGAAATTCATTTGGTGTCAAAAAGGGCCAGTCACAGACCAGCAAGGAACAAAAGTGAACAAGGAGGAAGCATATTCCATATGCAGGTCGGGATTACCGAACTCACATCCCCTCTTTGTGTACCTCACAGATATAATATTAATAAGCTTTTAAACGTTTAATGGATAGTTAAATTGTGTATAAAAAGCAAGGTTGTTTAGGGGTATATACATCGACAATGAAAGCATAGCCTTCATATAGGGCTTGCAATACTGACAGTCTGTGTCATGAGCGTAATGCAGACATGCGGTTAGGTACTTTTCCATTGTTATAATATATTGAAAACACTAAGACTTTGCAAAAAAATTTCAAACACATATTGCTTCCTGTACCTGAGGCCGTGCAAGGATGTAGTTGGGATATATTTCAAATTGAGTATCAAAAGTTTAACCACAAAACTATATGTTATACACTTCTTAAGAAAACAAGTTTAACCCGTTAGTGCATACTTTGGATAGCCTCTTTGCATAATTTGGCTCCTAGTGAGATTATTATATTTATCCTCTTCTGGATCTGCAAAATGCTTTCACTTTACCGATACAAATATAATACGGTAGTTTAGGAGATTATGATTACCTCACTTATACATTTCCGAAATTGTCTAATCTCCAATAAAAATACCATGTTATTATTACCCCATAATCAATGAGGCATACTAGATGAATCTTACTTTGACACAAACAATGCAATATACTTTAAAAGTAGAGTTAACTCTGAGCTGGACAATACTCCCCTATTAGAACTCCTTTATGAGGGAGAGACATCTTGTCCATTCAATCCTTTTTATCAGTAAAAGAATGACTTTCAGGATTAATCAATTTGCAAATGGAAACGTGGATCCACTATTTGAACAGCAGAAGTTTGCGGGGCCCCTTTCACGTGGGATGTAACAAGCGCTTTTCTTGTTCCAGAAGCGATAGCATACAATTGTTTCTTTCTAGCCGGCTGGACAGCATTTCACCTTTTGTAAAAACACTAAATGCTTGCGTTAATGATATGCAAATCACTCTGCTAGTTAAACTCCTACACAATGGACAATAAAATACATGAAACACATAACACACCAATTCATTTCAAACCATATAACTCATACTCAGCATCCAATGTAATATTACATGTCATCTCACAAAACAGACATCTCACAAAACAGACGTAGTAGATACACGTATCGGGTACCCAGCAGATATGCCAATACAGGAAACACATTCATGGGCACGCAACTACACACTCTGTGTCCCTCCTAGGAAACACGGGTAGACACAATATGAAAGCAGTCTTAAACTAACACCTCCAAATCTCCATTCCCATATAGCTATACCAGACCACAACACAGAGCCTCTCTGAGCTCATAGAACTACTCCAACTCAAACTACTCTTGGCCAAAACGCTAGTATTCAACAGCTAATAAAACAGTTATTTGCTAGGTTATTTGGCTGGCATTTGTATCAGTATCACTAGACTGAAACAAACTGATTCAAATATAATTTAAAACAACACAGCAACATATAAATTAAACCACTCTCCAGTTAAGCTGCACACTTCACACATTATCACAATCACCATTTACACAGAATAAACAGTTAACAGCTGTACTCAGAACATATTATTGTAAGGTATACCAATTTTAGTTTGTATTAGATTTATTTTAGGAATTCTTATGCATACATGTTTTTTTTTTGTTTGTTTTTTTTTTTCTAATTAACGTCATTACTTTAATCTACTATAGTATTGTATATAAAGAAAGGATCCATTTATATAGCGCGCTCATAACTCAAATATTTGTCTGAAACGTCCATTAACTAATCTGAGATGATGCTGCATCAATTTTAAATCTTACAGAAATTTTGCAAACATCTGGACCAGATTACACAGACATGGTTTCACCCGAATCTTTCAGAACTCTCAGAGACTTAAAAAAATTTATACTATACCATGTTTTAAAGGCATGGCAAACCTTAGACCGGTCAGTCTCCAAGAGCCTTAGTAAAACAGGTAAAAACCTTTGTCCATGAGCTCTGATCCAGGCTATATACCACAATTTAAAAGAACACATATAATGTGAGACATAGAAGACACAAAACATATGCAGTAGCTGAATCATTTAAAGCATCTGTAGCAATAAAAAGGTTAGCTTTCAGCACAAAATGAAGCATGTGTTGGACCGCTGAAAATGTAAATGTTGCTCTCTTATTTACAAACAAATCATATTTACAGTATGGATCCTTTGCAACAAACACACAGGGCAGGGAAGATGTGCTGATTGGTGTTCTATACAATTAATCCCATACGGGGAATTAACTTTCAAATACTAATGAAGTGACTTTTTGTCTCAGTTATAAAAATACTGAGCTCATCATGCAAACAATGTAACACATTTACACTATCCCACTCTCATAATAAGTGTAGTGGGCTTATGGTATTAAAGTAATAATCATAGCAGGCACACAGATCCCATGTGAAATAACTTACAATAAAACAGAGTAATAAACTTATACTTCTATGCAACAGAAAGAATAAAACAAAAGATTTAAGTAGGTCTATCAGGTACAACCTGCGAGTCAGTTCTTTTCTAATATACAGTACTGCTATCTTTTATATACATATATACATATATATATATACATATTGGTCACTCAGGACCTGAACTTACATTTCCCATACTGCTGACTCAGGGCAGACACACTACTAACTTACCAAAGTGTGTCCCCAATACAGACAATAACCCACAAAGAACACTTAAGACAAACAAAGGTGACCAGGAGAAAGAGAAGTTTGGGGTATACTTATAGATCTTTAAACTGTGCTCCTCAGAACACCTATAATCTTAATAAACCGGAGACCTCTTATGGTCTCAAAACCTGTATCTACCTGAGATACCCTGTATCTATCTTAGATACTAACCTGGGTTACCAAAACCCTATAATAAACCGGAGACCTCTCAAGGTCTCAAAAACCTGTATCTATCTTAGATACTAACCTGGGTTACCAAGAACCCCTATATATATTTAGACCAAATGTCTAATAAACCAGAGACCTATTTACAGTCTCAATATAACTAAAGTCCTTATACCTTTCCTTTCTACTGGATACAGACTTACTGAACCAAAGGGGGTCATAGACAATTAGCGTCAATAAGACACAAAAAGGCTACTCACCCAATGGTTTTGCTGATCCCACTTCTAGACACCAAGCTGAAAGGATAAATGCTGTTCTGGACTCAACTCCCCTCGATTCTCGATCCCCCGTCACCATATCAATTGATGGGAGATCTTGTTTGGCAAATAAGACACACAGACACGAAAGAGTGCTCAACAAGTTCTCAATGAGTATATTTTCAGGGCTAGCATTTATACACAGTTTGTCATGCAAACAGTGAGATCTATAGTGTCCTTGTAGTTAATAGTACATACTTGTCGGACATGAAAAAGATAAGCATTTGGATAAAGACGAGACAGGAACATCCTAAGGTCAAGGAAGGTCATACATCCTGTAGACGAAAGACCTTGGTACAAAATACATCTGCCAAAGTCAGCATAATTATTTCAAACATTATTTTAAAGCAAGAAAGAGTTTAACTATTTCATATCCTTACAGTCAGTACTAATGATTATAAACCTTATCTAAGCATAAAATACATATGAACAAGGAAAGTTAACTATTTCAGCTTTCACTTCCTCGCAGCTAACACCCATGCGGGAGAAAGGAAGCACTGGGGAGGGGGAGCCTGAGAGGAGAATAGAGCCAGACTTACATCAGTACCAGCTAGCAGAGTCCACCCTCCTGCAGCCAAATGGTAAGAAACAGTAGGGTGACTAAAAAATGAGTGTGTCTGTGTGTCTGTATCTATGCGTACCTGAGTGTATGTGTGTATATGTCAGTGTGTCTGTCTGTACCTGTGTGCATGTTTATCTATCAGTGTGTGTATCTGTGTGTGTGTGTGTATCTGTCAGTGTGTGTATCTGTGTGTCTGTTTGTACCTGGGTGTCAGTGTGCATATAGGTGTGTGTGTAACTGTGTGTCTGTGTATTTGCATGTGTGTCCTATATGTGTATGTGTACCGGAGTGTCAGTGTGTGCACCTCAGTGTATGTATATTTGTGTGCGTGTGTGTGTGTCTGTATGTATCTGGGTGTCAGTTTGTAAAACTTCCTTTATTGCAAATTCTGTTTAATTTAGAATGTCTTATCTCCTGCTCTGTTTATAGCTTGCTAGACCATGCAGGAGCCCCCTGTGTGTAATTAACGTTCAATTTACAGAGCAGGAGATAAAAACTTTTAAAATAAGCTGCACCCGATTGAAAGTGAAACTATTTTGTTTTCTTGCAGGCTGTGTCAGTCACAACCAGGGAGGTGTGGGTAGGGCTACATAACAAGAAATAAAAACAAAAGTGATTTAACTCCTAAATGGCAGTGAATTAAGAAATTCTAAATTAAACAGACTATGCAATAAATAAAAAGTGTCAACATTAGATGACTCTTTACAGGAAGTGTTTTGGAAGGCTGCATAAGCCAAATGCAGGGAGGTGTGACTAGGGCTGTATAAACAATTTAACTCCTAAATGGAAGATAATTGAGAAGTGAACCTGCAGATGCATGATCTATACACCAAAACTGCCTCATTAAGCTTAAGTTGTTTTGGTGCCTATAGTGTCCCTTTGAGAACAATGTCTAGGGTTATTGGTTATTATTAATCATTTTATCGTTAGGTTTAGAATATGAATTCTTCATTGCCCTGATTAAACCCTTTGTGTACGTACTGTGTAGTAGCACATTCTCTAATTCTAACGGTCAGAGAAACCCTTCCTGTACTGACCCTGCAGGACCTCGCTGAGCACCTTTCTTCAGACCCTGTCCTGGCAGTTTCCAGGTGATCACCTGACCTCAAGCAGGAATCCTGCTTTTCATTAGGGAAAAGTATGAACAATCTATACAGAATAGCGCATAGCTAATTATCAATGTAATTTTATCATCTAACAGCTTTCAGCACAGAATAAGGAGAGTTAATAGGAAATGGGAGCTAACACAATACACATATACAAATTAATTATCTATTTTGCATCTCATTAACCCATTATGTATTATAAGGATAATGTGTGATTATAAAGGCAAATCTATTGCTTTTATAAGAAATACCTATATCCTTATTTAGCCAATAGATCAGTTGGATAGTACACTATTTGTATCTACAAGATACTGTCAATAAAGTATGTAGATACTGTAACAAAACCCCCCAGTTAACCAGTATAATGACTGCATATATATATACATATATATGTGAACTCAGACTATTTGTTGTTTTGCCTTCAGTAATCGTTTATTTGGGCTCACGGACTTGTAAAAGAATGTTTCTGGCCCTTTAAGTACCTTGGGAAAAGACCTGCAGGTTTGAATTGGCACTTCGGATGCAGCCGAAGTGCCGAAGTAGTCGAAGTGTCCGCCATTCGAAAATCGAACATGTGGCAGCAGCCATTTTGATTCATTCAAACGCGGTCAGCGGTGTGTGCTGGCAAATCTATGGAACTATTTTCGTCTACCCAAAACAACTTTAGCTTAATGAAGCAGTTTTGGTGTATAGAACATGCCCCTGCAGTCTCACTGCTCAATTCTCTCCCATTTAGGAGTTAAATCACTTTGTTTATGTGCCCTAGTCACACCTCCCTGCATGTGACTTGCACAGCCTTCCTAAACACTTCCTGCATAGAGTCATCTAAAGTTTATCCTTTCTTTATTGCAAGTTCTGTTTAATTTAGATTTTCTTATCCCCTGCTATGTTATTAGCTTGCTAGACCCTGCAAGTGCCTCCTGTATGTGATTACATTTACAGAGCAAGAGATAAAATTATTTAAGGTAAATTACATCTGATTGAAAGTGAAACCATTTTTTTCTATGCAGGCTCTGTCAATCATAGCCAGGCGAGGTGTGGCTAGGGCTGCATAAACAGAAACAAAGTGATTTAACTCCTAAATGGCAGTGAATTGAGCAGTAAAACCTGAGAAGCATGAGTTATACACTAAAACTGCTCCATTAAAATCCTTTGAGGACCAAGGGACGTATTTGTCCCATGTTTTTAATTGCCTGTATCATTTGATTAAGAACTTAAAATACTTTTTTTGGGGGGGGTTGAGTCAAAATATTAGTTCTTATCAACAAATGGATCTAGCTTTTTGCCAGTTATTTCATGAAATGGCTTAGTTACAGCTTAGTTAAGTTTGAAGTGTACAAACTTAAAAAAAAAAATTGCTTCTTTTGGCGTTCCATAAAAAGTGACCTAAATTGTCAGAAGAGTAGCAGAATTTGACTCAATTTATTATGACCTTTGTAATAAGTGGGGGGATGTGATTAACAGCCAAACTGTATGCCAATGAAGTGTTATTGTGTTCTAATACAGGGATTCAAGCCCCCATTCTACCCTAAGGCAATAATGGAGTCCTCTGTGAAGCACATGGCCTTTCACCAGGCAAAATCAGTTGGGTTGTTGATAAACTCCTCCTCCATTCCCTTCCAATGCAATTCCCCTTCCCCCAGGAGGCACTCTGGTTCTGTTACATCCTAAGGGATTGACTGAGGGAGGTGTGTCCAGCAGAAGGAGGGGCTAACCTGTTTAAAGCCCTGTGAATAGCACATTCTCTCTCTCTTTGAATTACCTCTCTTCACCTTCTCTCTCCTCTCTCCCCTCTCCCCACTATACACACCCTCTCTCTCTTACTCTCAGCTGCTGATCAATGGAGTGGTAACTGTATCACGTGTCTATGTCTGTTTTATTATGTTAATTTAGCCTACTTTCCATTCAGTCAGTGATTAGTTTTAGTAGCAACATATACTAGCCTATTTCAAATGTATATGTATTGTTTATTTGTTTATTTGTTTGATTAAGCCTTTATTAATAAATATTATTGAATTGCCGAAAGCAAGGAGTGTGGACTCTGACTTTACACTCGGTTTTTAAGTTATTATTTTAAGTTATTATTTTTAGTTATTAATGTTATTATTAATTCCAAGTTTATTCCAACTTGCGAGTTAAACGTTTATTACAACCTTCTTTAGAATTCATTGTAAAATAAATTTAAAGTTCCAGAAACAGACCATGCTTGCAACCTTGTCTCCCTTGAGGACCATAGGGACACATTTTTCCCGTGTCATAATTCCTCCCCCAAAAATGACACAAGTGTGGAAATGGTTTTATTTATTGTTCAAATACATTTTTAAAGGGAAAAATATATAATTATTTTATGACAGTAATCTTATGGTCCTCAAAGGGTTTTTAAGCTAAAGTTGTTTTGGTGACTATAGTGTTCCTTTCATTTGAAATTGCCAGATACATTTCAGGTTGACAAGTAAAAAAAATAAATAAAAAAATTATATGGACTGTGCAAATATGGCTAATTTCAATAGGATGGCTCCACATTATTACATAGTTACATAGCTGAAAAGAGACTTACGTCCATCAAGTTCAGCCTTCCTCACATATGTTTTTGCTGTTGATCCAAAAGATGGCAAAAACCCCAGTCTGAAGTGCTTCCAATTTTGCAACAAACTAGGAAAAAATTCCTTCTTGACCCCAGAATGGCAGTCAGATTTATCCTTGGATCAAGCAGTTATTAACCTACATTGAAAGATTATATCCTTGAATATTCTGTTCTTGCAAGTATGCATCTAGTAACTGTTTAAACATCTGTACGGACTCTGATAAAACCACTTCTTCAGGCAGAGAATTCCACATCCTTATTGTTCTTACAGTAAAAAAAACCTTTTTTTTGCCTTAGACGAAATCTTCTTTCTTCAAGTCTAAACGGTTTGCATGACCACGTGTGCTATTTAATATCTTATTTGTGAATATTCTTTACCTTAAAGTAGTTTAGAGCATCAGCCAAAGCAGGTTGTGCCATGCAACAATGTCACCATTATGGGTCACACCTGGTCATCACCCCATATGTGTGTCTATGATCATGAAACCTAAATAATGAAATTGATATTCCTGTGTACTAATAACAATACTATGTCATGCTAGAACTTATTTTGGTTAAAAAAAATCTCCACACACGTTTTCATGTTTTTTTTTCAAACCACCATATCCCTATATTTAAAAATATGTATTTGTAAGATGAAAAAGAATTTAATGTAGAAATACATGTGTTGTATTCCATTCTCTAGCTGTTGCAAAATGTGTACTTCTCTGCAACTTCACACAGAACCGCTAGGCAACCTTTCGTCATTCATTAATAGCTGTCTTTTTAAGGTGTAATTAATATTATTTTTTTTTATCCCAGAGACAGTCTGTTTACCTTTCACTATCACAACGTTTTTAATAAATCTGTTTGCACTTTATTAATATAACTGAGCTTCATCATTATATGACTGAAACTTGATTTCCTTAACCTACACCCTGTTCCAAATTATTATGCAAATTATATTTTTCTCATTTACCTAAATAATTGATGTAAACAACAGTCAGCATAATTCTCATGTTATCACCTATTAATAGTACAATTCAAATTCTATTGAACAAACCTCCTAATGATAACAGTATTTTTTTAAACATAAAAAACTTACAATGCACTGTTCCAAATTATTACGCACAGTACGTTTCAAAACACTTTATAGGTTGTAAAGAACTGAAAAAATGTCATTTGTTGTGTTTGCAGCATATTTACTGAAATCAAAAGCTATTTCAATCAGATTTATAACAACATTTTAACTTTTTAAACATTTTAACAGGTCACGTTACATTTTAACATAGGACCCCTGATTGGCTAGCAGCTTCACAAGTCTTGCATCCATTGAATTTGTGAGTTTTTGGACAGTTTCTGCTTGAATTTGTTTGCAAGATGTCAGAATAGCCTCCCAGAGCTGCTGTTTGGATGTAAACTGCCTCCCACCCTCATAGATCTTTTGCTTGAGGATGCTCCAAAGGTTCTCAATAGGATTGAGGTCAGGGGAGGATGGAGGCCACACCATGACTTTCTCTCCTTTTATCCCCATAGCAGCCATTGATGCAGAGGTATTCTTTGCAGCATGAGATGGTGCATTGTCATGCATGAAGATGATTTTATTACGGAAAGCATAGTTCTTCCTTCTGTACCAGGGAAGAAAGTTGTCAGTCAGAAACTCCACATACTTTGCACCTTCGGGGACCCTGAAGGGGCCGACCAGCTCTCTTCCCATGATTCCGGCCCAAAACATGACTCGACCACCGCCTTGCTGACGTCTCAGCCTTGTTGGAACAGGGTGGCTGTCCACCAACCTTCCACTACTCCATCCATCTGGACCATCCAGGGTTGCATGGCACTCATCAGTGAACAGGACTGTTTGAAAATTAGTCTTCATGTATTTTTCTGCCCAATGCAGCCATTTCTGCTTGTGAGCATTGGTTAGTGGTGGCCGAATAGAAGGTTTATGCACAGTTGCAAGACTCTGGAGGACTCCACACCTTGATGTCCGTGGGACTCCAGAGGCACCAGCAGCTTCAAATATCTGTTTGCTGCTATGTAATAGTATTTTAGCAGCTGTTCTCTTGATCCGATGCATGGATCTGGCAGAAATTTTCCTCAATGTGCCTTTATCTGTACAAACCCGTCTGTGCTCTGAATCAGCCACAAATCTCTTAATAGTGTGATGATCACGCTAAAGTGTTTATGAAATATCTAATGGTTTCATACCTCGTCCAAGGCATTGAACTAGTTCACTCTTTTCGGCAGCAGAGAGATCCTTTTTCTTCCCCATATTGCATGAAAATGGTGCTCTGCTTAATAATGTGGAACACGCTCCTTTAGTAGTTTTTCCTTAAATTGGGCTCACCTGGCAATCTAATTATCACAGGTGTCCGAGATTGTTTTCAGTGATCAAAAGAGCACTGAGACACAATGCCATCCATGAGTTAAACTGAAAAAAAAATATTTAATCTTTGTGACACTTAAATAGAATTTGCATAATAATTTGGAACAGGGTGTAGTTATCTGGGTAATTCAATGGCAATCCTGGCATATTAATATATGATGTTAAAAACATTATTCATTTAAAGCAATCTGTGTATGTATGCATTTTCTCCATATGTGCTGTGTGAAAGGTGTCGACTTGGGGACATCTACTGACCATTGAGTATTATTACAAAAATTTTCACAATTTATACTTGATTTTGGGTTATCACCTAAACGTTCATTTTACTATAGTGCTCCGTTCTTATTTACATATTTTTTTCTTTTAAGAGTATGAACAATCTATACAGAATAGCGCATAGCTATTTTAAGACCCTGGCTAACCTGACATCTGGTCACCTGTAAAACACTCTAATTATCAATGTAATTTTATCATCTAACAGCTTTCAGCACAGAATAAGGACAATGAATAGGAAATGGGAACTAACACAATACACATATGCAGGTTAATGATCTATTTTGCATCTCATTAACTCATTAACCCACTGTGTATTATAAGGATAATTTGTGATTATGAAGGCAAATCTATTGTTTTTATAAGAAATACCTATGTCCTTATTTAGCCTATAAATCAATTGGAAAGTACACTACCTGCATCTACAAGATACTGACAATAAACTATGTAGATACTGTAGTGGAGCCCTAGTCCTAGCAGGGACTCTCCTCCGCTGGTTACACCAACATTATAGTCAGGAACAAGTAAAACAATCACAATCACATAGAACAGTCAGGCACAGCAAAGTAATCCAAGAATCTCCCACCTCATCCCCAACAAGTAGATGACACTGAGCTCTGGGGATATAACCGAATTTTATTCACACATACACTGCTTTTATGCCATCTCCCATGCAACGGGTCTCACAGGCAGAAAATGCAAGGGTTTCAATCCCAGGATCCCTTGTGCCTGAGAGATAATTGCCTGAGTAAACTCCTCCAATTTAATTATCTCTCAGGTACAAAAAATCCCAAAAATATCCTGCACCTCAAAAGTCCCCCAACTGTGTATAGGAACCCCACATAAAGCACATTCCCTGATAGCAACGATCTGAGTGACCAGCATATCCAAGAATCACTCAGATCGGTTCAGTAGAACGGGAACGGCATCTTGTGGAAGATTTGACCGACCCGACACAAGGTAGTAGCCCAAAATTTTTCAAGGAGAATAGGTGCCCTGACCAGTCTCTGTTTGTGAGGTTCCTGTGCGAAAACCATACAAGGGAATCTCTTGCTTTTATTATACGAATGCTCCACCTGTTCGGTACTTCATATCTCCCGAACGCCGTTCGTGTAGGTGGCCAGGAGCAGGAACGGGCAGCGGTCAAATGTTTACAGGTGTTCATACAAGTGCCTACCCGAAAAGGGTTCCAGGCACTCAAAGACAAAGTACCGCCGCCCTCGTTCGGAAGACAAGATGGCGGCCATCCTCTCTGCCATGTGTTCAGTTATACGAACGGTGGCCACACAGAGGGAAGCGCTCATTATATGTTTCCCTTGTGGTTTCACACTGAAGTGGTGGGTGACAACATTCTAATGGGGTACAGGGGTGGACCTCGTTCGAGAGGCGAACAGATTCCATTCGCATGAACAGACAAAGTGTAATCACACGAAATAGATAGGATAAATCATAGTACTGTAACAGGGGGTGTAAAGACAGCCAAGGAAGGCAATAAAAGTTGTTGGTGTGGATCCATTCCGCTACGGATACCATGTTTGGATTGAAATTATGGATTGTTCTCCCCGGTGCCCCTAGGAATGTTTGCACCTATCAATTAGAACGTTGTCAACTTAAGTGTGAAACCACAAGGAAAGTAATTAATGAGTGCTCCCCTGGGTGGCCGCCATTCGTATAGACGGGCGGCAGCCGGGGGAGCATTTGTGTCCCAAAAGGAGAAACTTCCCTTGCCTGGTTACACTCAAGAACCACGCGAGCGGAGGCTGCTCATGGGGATCACCATTCTTGGGGTCCCTGAGATTGGTGGGGACACTTTTTGGGGACAATAGCGGTTTGGCCGGCTTTCTGTGACTGGGAGTCCAGGAGGCAGGAAGCTTTCCCGCGCTGGGGCTCCCAGGCACAGGGGCTCACAGGATAAAGACTCCACTGTCCCCGAAGGCGGGAAACCCTGAGGATGGGTGGCAGGAGCAAGGGACAGGGGAGGTCCATTTCCGTCAGGAGACCCCTGGGAGGGAGAGTGCCCTTGGAGGGCACACTGGTTAGCGGGAACAGAAGACAAAGAGATTGGGGTTCTGTATCTGTTATGCGACCCCTGGGAGGGGAGGACCCTGGGAGGGAACATTGTCTTTCTGTATGATCCACCCCTTTCATGAGGAACAGTATAAAGCCGCATGTGGCCAATAAAGTTGTTGTTGTACCCCTGGGACTGCGTGTTGTCCGGTTACTGGATGGGGAATGGGTCTCTCCGTACTATAACTGACTCCCTTCCAGGGACAAGACGTGGCTGAATAAGGACAACCGGGCGGGTTGCCAGCAGGCCTGCTACAGGAGTGTTACTTTTAAAAAAATTACAATGTAATGCTCACTGATAATCATGCCGATTTAAAGAAACAGGCAAAGTTTATATTACATAGTTACATAGTTACATAGCGGAAAAGAGACTTGCGTTCATTCTTGCGAAGTTCTGCCTTCCTCTGTTTTTTTGCTGTTGATCCAAAAAAAAGTAAAAAAAAAAAAAAAACTGTTTGAAGCACTTCCAATTTTGCAACAAACTAGGAAAAAATTCCCTCTTGACTGCAGAATGGCAGTCAGATTAATACTTGGATCAAGAAGTTATTACCCTACAGTTGAAAAATTAAGTAATTGAATATTCTGTTTTTGCAAGTATGCATCTAGTAGCTGTTTAAAAATCTGTATGGACTCTGATAAAACCACTTCTTCAGGCAGAGAATTCCACATCCTTATTGTTCTTACACTCTTTCCTTTGCCTTAGACAAAATCTTCTTTCTTCCAGTCTAATGCATGACCTCGAGTCCTATGTATAGTCTTATTTGTGAATGTTCTGTATCTTAAAGTAATTTAGAGCATCTGAGAGTCAGCCAAAGCAGGCCGTGCCATGCAAAAATGTCACCATTATGGGTCACACCTGGTCATCACCCCATATGTGTGTCTATGATCACGAAACCTAAATAATGAAATTGATATTCCTGTGTACTAATAACAATACTATATCATGCTAGAACTGATTTTGGTTAAAAAAAATCTCTAAACGCGTTTTCATGGCTTTTTTCAAACTTTTCTATTTTTGGCAAAAAACATTTGCAGGTTAACCACCATATCCCTATATTTAACAAATTGTATTTGTAAGATGAAAAAGAATTTAATGTAGAAATCCACGGTGCTGTATTCCATTCTCTAGCTGTTGCTAAATTTTTACTTCTCTGAAACTCCAAACAGAACCGCTAGACAACCTTTCATCATTCATTAATAGCTGTCTTTTTAGGGTGTAATTAATCTTTTTTTTTATCCCATAATCTTGAGTTCTCACAGGGATAATAGTGAATTTAAACTGACAATAGTGGATTTAAACGGATAATAGTGAATTTAGATAAGTAGTTGAGTGTTGCACGCTGCTATCAGTAGCACCGGAGCTCTGTGGTTGAGGTACGCTAACCTCCAAATATATCCACAAGTGAAGAGACACAGGCTGCACAATGTAGGCTGACCAAGACAGTTTTATTGTGGAATGCAGGACCAAACAAGGATACAATGTTTTCGGCTGTGAGGCCTTAATCATGTTTAACAAAAAGCAGTGAAGTGTGCATATAAATACTCGGGTAGAATGGGATAAGCCTGCCCATACCGTGACCGTTATTGTGACCGTATTCAGCCACATCTGAAAAAAATGGGATATTCTATACAACTTGGTATGGAGCTAAAATATACCGTGTCCATCAAACATCATCATTGATAGACAAGGTATGTTTTAACTCTATCCCAAGTTGTATAGATCACTTTATTTATGTATATGACTTTTCAGATACAATGCCCTAGTAAGTCGGTTTAGTTCTTAATTTAGATTGTATTATAGGTTGTTATGTTAAATGTTTTTTAATGTTTTAAACCCTGTGAAATTTAAATATCTCTGTACCTATTAAGGTTTTATGAATTATGTACCTTGAAGGATCATGGCTACCCCTGATATAAAATGGGCATAAACATGTTTGAGAGATTGAGTGCCTAAAACAGGTGAAGTGGTCAGGCAACGGGAGGTCAAGGTTTTTGGTTTGAATTGTCCATTTGTGTTGGTTAAGGCGTTCCATCATGCGCATTGTGGTCTCACCTATGCAAAGCTCAATGACATTTGAGTAAATAAACTACATTACTGGATTCCAAGTGTAATAGATTTTAATGTAGCTAATGTGTAAACGTTTCCCCCTTGATAATTATATTACACGAGTTACAATTTAAGCATGGGAACAAGTCAAATTTTGGATTTGCTAGGAACCTCTGTCTCGTGTTGGAAAGGGGACAAATGTCAACCATAACAAGTGAATCTCTAGGGTTATGCCCCCTGCGATATACGCAGACGAGTACTTATGGAATTCTAGAATGGTGGGATATGACTGGTTCTGGGTAGATCGTGAGATCAAGGAAACTGACAGGGGTGATGGTTGGTGGTAAAATTGATGTTTAGGGTTGACAGCATTTATATGTTTTAAAACAATTCCAGTAGGATGTCAACAAGTCCCTCCCATATGCCAAAGGCATCATCTATAAACTGCCATAAGATTTTAACATTGGTGGAGAAAGATGGATGGGAATAAACAAATTGGTTTTTGAAATAGTTGATGTATATGTTGGCATATGTGGAGCCACACATGGCCCCATTGCATTTCCCTTGATCTGCCTGCAGGTGGTGTCACCAAAAAGAAAACAGTTTCTATCAATATCAGACTCAACAATTGTAATAGAAATCTGTAGTCTCAGGATTCAATCAAGTGTAAGACAAATAACCACATGTTGTACTGCGGGTATGCTGCCCTCGTGGGGAATTGAGGTATACAGACTAACTACGTCACAAGTAAAGAGAATGCTGAGGGTGTAATACTAATCTAAGAAAAAACTTACCTGCGCTCTTCCCAAATCCCTATGTATATTTAAACAAATGGAGGGTATTTAGCTTCTTCAATGGCCATGAGACTTTTGCCCACCTGCCGCATCAAGGTAAACCTCTCAGGTGGGTCCTACACTGACCTTTCACCTTGCTTCCTTGAACTTCTGTCGAAAATATCTCTAACGAGACAGAAAGGGGTATTTTAGTTATATATACCCCTACATGCGTATTAACCCTTAATAAGGAACACATGGTCGTTGCCGCCGCCCAGGAGTGATGGGAGTTTGAGCGCAGGACTTGTTTTTTTGTAGGTGTAATACTAATGTCTGATAAATCTACAAATACATCACCACAATCCAATATGCAGGAGCGTGTTGTAATGCACAGTCAAAACCAGCCAGAATAGGGCAGACAGGTGGGACCAGCAACCTCTTTAAATCATGCATACAGGAAAATGGGTGAAAACCCACCTATACCCGCACTCATACCTTTACAGGGCTATCTACTAAACTCACAATTATCAGGAATTCAAACAGAATTTTAAATTGAAGTCCAAAAATTACCCAAGGCAGCTTTCCTTTCTAGTACTTTGGTCAAAAATTTTAATTCACTTTTAGTTCCCAGCGATTCTCCCTTTTGTAAA